TCATTGGGAACTATTCAGCCAACACAAACTTAAAGCATAAGTATTTGCAGAACTAGGACACTAACCCATCGTGGATCCCTTTCTGCAAGGTTTGGGATCAGCTGGGAAGCTTATGCCCTCTGCGTGGCACCCTGCGTGTCTCCATGAGTTTCCTACAGCAACTTCCCTTCCAGTTGTCATTCTCAGCACAAACACCAGCCTTTTGCCCAAAATTTGCTTTACATTTGCATTTTCCCAGCATCCTGTGATCATTCCGGACGCCAGCAAGAGGCACAAGCTGTTTATATGCAGGCTAAAAGCTGCACAGAATAATTAAGATGACACGGTTCAGTTCATAATGATGTTGCAATTTTGGCTTCTTAGAAGCCAGTATTCCGTAATCTGCTTCCCTGGTTGCTTTCGGAGGCTGGGAATGTGCATGGAATGCTGACGCCGCTCGGCTTCACTGGGAATAGCACTGGAAAGAGTCCCTTCGCGCAGCCACCACCGCTGTTGCGTCACCCAGAGCAGCAGCCAGCGCCTGGCCACCAAAGCCATAACATAAAATAATAACCAGCGTAAAGTGTCATATTTGGGATGGTTTTCCAAGGAAAGGCAGCCCAAATGGTTGTGGAAAGGCAGATGTTCGAAAGACAAACAATTCTACCTGTATCTAGATGTGAGCCAAAACCACAAACACAACCCGTCCTCTCCAAAACCTACTTTAAAAACGATGTGTACATAACCTTTAACGCTGTAATTCCGAGCTCGGATGGGCTTTTGCCCTCTGTGGGTGTGAGAAAGAATTCCCCATCCCGTTTTCCCCGCTGCCTGGCAGCCCTCTTGCCAGCAGCTCTTGTATTAACCCATTCTACAAACCACTGCTGGAAGAGGGAACGCTGCTCTGCTTCAAACTGCGCCTCCAGTGCACAGAAGGCTCCATCTAGTGTCACACGCACAGAATCCCAGGAAAAAACAGGAGAGAGGGAAAAAAGCCTCTTGACAACAACTGCTACAGATTTTTAAGGCATCATGGCAAAATAAGTGCACTTTTCTGCCCGTGCTGTCCTGTGCTTTAAAGAATATGGAGTAGATTTTACTACACAGAGCTCTCCAGTCCCCTGCCTAAATCCCTCACACATGCACAAATCATTACAGTCAACAACACAACAAGGGGAAATGAGAGAGAATTTACACCAAGCAGAAATGGTGCCAGGAATTGGGTTTTCACCCAGTTTTGGCAGTGTGGACATGCTGTGGCTCCTCACTCTCATCATACATCAGGAGCTGACCCTTCACTCAGTGGCTACAGGGTGTTTGGGATCACAGGTCTCCATCCAGACATAGCCAACAGCAAGTGTACCTTAATGTCACGTCATGGATAAAATGCAACACAGCATCTCCAGCCCAAACCAAAGCTGCTGAGGACCAGCTCTCACAGCCTGACTCTCACATAATGCCATCGATTCTGTGGCCATCACTCCACTGCACTGAAGATTGCCCTGTAACCAGCAGTGGCTTTGAACACAACAGGTTTATGTACAAAACCAAGGTCTTGGAAGCATAGTGCTGGGCAGATAGATGAGTGTCACCAGAACCATGGCGGGCTTGAGCCAGCTCTGCTGATGGATTACCCCGTGTGCTGAGTGGACAGAAATGCCAGAGGGATCCTGCTGCAGACCTCAACACCCCTGGGCTTGTTTGGGTTTCAGTATTCATGACAGCTTGAACCTGCCTAGTGCTAGGAATTCTTAATTCCAACCCCATATTCTGAGCTGAAGGAATCCCAGCTGGTTTGTGTTGGAAGGGACCTTAAAGCTCCTCCAGCTCCAACCCCTGCCCCGGGCAGGGACACCTTCCACTAGAGCAGGTTGCTCCAAGCCCCTGTGTCCAACCTGGCCTTGAACACTGCCAGGGATGGGGCAGCCACAGCTTCTCTGGGCACCCTGTGCCAGCGCCTCAGCACCCTCACAGGGAAGAGCTTCTGCCTATATACTCTAATATTTCCTTATAACCTAACATAAAGTGCAGGAAAAAAAGAACCTGAAATCTTGGGAGAAGGATGGAAAAGAAAGTAGAAGAAAATTAGAAATAAGCAGAACGTAACTTACATTAATTGCACCCAAACACCGATGTCAAATACTTCTCCACCAGTAAAAAGTAGCATGCCACCTTTAGCAGCCATAAAGGCTCAAAACCCCACTTACCTCTTCACCTGCAGCACTGTAACTCCGACACTTCGTTGTATTCTCTCCTTTCTGTGCAAAACGTGTTTTCCCTTGTGTGTCTCCCAGCAGAACCCTCCCCAGGCTCCACTTCAGAGCTCTGGGAACATCACCTCATTGTAGTGCTCAAATCACTGGGATTTACAGAAGAACAGTTGAGGAACTCGGCAGCACCACAGGTACCAGTCACGCTCCCAGCAGCGCCCTGAGCGGAGGTTTTGTCTGTATGGTTGAAGCTTTTGTCAAGAATGTGTTACATTTCCTGAGTACTGAATATACCAAATACAGTCATTTATATAGACACTAATCTGTAACAGTAATAAAAAACTAGGCAATGGGAAAAGGCAACAGGGAAAGGCAAAACCAGAATAAAGATAATAAATATACTCATGACCACTGCTGATTACCAGAGCTGGAGACCCTCACTTGAGCACCCTGAGAAGTGGAGAGAAGTCACCAAACATCAAGAGCAGCGCTGGAGTTTTGCTTCACGAATACATTCTGTACTGGTGTAAGAGTCATTTCCATACTGGTCTAAGTGGTGCAGCAGAGTATATGGAGTATAACAGTGTACAGAACGTACCTCTGTAAGTATATGGAATAGAAGAATATAAATTGTCAGAGACACCAACAACCTTTATCCACTTGTGGTCTGTTGCACGTCTAATAAGCTTTGAGTGGTTAAATTCCATTACAGTGACTTTTGAGGAAAACTAATGCAGAAGTAGCATCTTGTATTTGTCTTGGTTTAATTAAAGCTTCTCATTCCTAATTAGACCACAGGGATGTTACTCTTTGGTATAAATTTACTGTTTTAAATGAAGTAGGTTCCAATTCATAACAACAACTGCCTGGATGCATTTGCCATTCACTTTGAGAGATTAAGGTTTCATGACGGGGATCCTTAGAATCATGAGGATCTTTTTATAGTGGTTAAGCTTGGTTTTAAAGTTATAATGTCTACTATTTAATAGTGATCACTAAAGTTACTCCTAGAAAACTGACACTTAGACAAAGTTAAATATGAATCACTAAGAATTCTGCAACGTGTCCAAGTCCATTCTTCTCTGCAGTCAACCTTTCCCAGTCTGGGACTAACCCCAGCAACAGCCCTGCTTCAGGTTCCAGTATACTTAGATTATACTGAGAATCGAAGCAACAAACCCCCAAACTTGCTTCCAAAACCTGCTCTGCTGCTGCCTGGAACTTGGCACCACACCAACTCATCAGGCCCCTCTTCCAGGCACACTCTGGAAGACACATTCAGTCCTGACCTGTCCTAAGAAGGAAGCAACTCCTCAAGCGGGTTTCTGGCCAGGAATCTGAAGCAGACACCAGTGTTTCTCTGCAAGCACAACCAACACAAGAATCCGTGAGGAAAAGGCTCTCAGCAATACTTCTTTGCTCAAAAATGTATTACAGGTGAGGCTCAGGCACTTTGCTGCCCACCAGTGCTTCCCTTTCTGGGTTTCATGAAGGGAGCTTGCTCCTCTTCAGGTCCTAGACCTCTCCAAGAACATGCTGTCCTTGTCCTCCTCACTGTGCATAGCCAGTGTGCCCAGAACAGTTTAATCCACTGCACAGGCAGAACTCAGTAGCAGCTGATACTGCTGTCACACGCAGCAACCTACATTTAGTCAACCTGAAACATTCCAGCACTTCACAAGCATGGAATCACCTTCCAAAATAAAACCCTCAGGTTTAAATTCAGTCTGAACACAGATGTTAAGCGACCTAAAAGCAGAAAGTGTTCCTCTTGAAGGGAAATCCCCTCCTGCACATACCTGCAAGTACGACGGTGCTGCATGGTCAGTCGGTTCTCAGAGCCAATTGTATTTCAGAGCATTAAAGGTATTAAAAGGATTAAAACTAAATTAAATCCTCTGAATACAGAAATTAAGGATTCTTTAAAGACAATTATTTAAATTGCCAAAGTCATACTCCAGCCAGTAACCCTTTCTGTCTAAGTGAAGGAGCACTGACAATACTGGAGGAGAGAAGACTCCAGGAAGACCTAGAGCAGATCCAGTGCCTAAAGGGGCTCCAGGAAACCTGGAGAGGGGCTTTGGACAAGGGATGGAGGGACAGGACAAGGGGAATGGCTTGAACCTGCCAGAGGGGAGACTGAGATGAGCTCTGAGGCAGAAGCTCTTCCCTGTGAGGGTGCTGAGGCGCTGGCACAGGGTGCCCAGAGAAGCTGTGGCTGCCCCATCCCTGGCAGTGTTCAAGGCCAGGTTGGACACAGGGGCTTGGAGCAACCTGCTCTAGTGGAAGGTGTCCCTGCCCAGGGCAGGGGTTGGAGCTGGAGGAGCTTTAAGGTCCCTTCCAACACAAACCACTCTGGAATCTGTGATTTATGATACACCAAGAGACTGGCCTAACCACCGTGTTTATTAGCTCATTTCAGGTGTAATATAAATATGCCCCAAAAACTACGCTGAAACAGGTTGAATATCTGAGATGAACAATTATGGACCTGCTTTGCTAATGAAGATGCACAGCATTGAGCTGAAACTCATTAATATCCACTTCCTAATGGGGCACTGGATTAAGGTTTCAATAGGATTTTTCTTGCTCACTAGACAGGAAAACAGTTATGAACAGGGACAGAAAATTATGCTCCTCACCACAGAGCTACAGCCATTAATAATCTAATGAGAGCTGAGCCCAAAAAAGTAAAGATGCAATTTAGTCCTACACAGTACTACAATGGGTAGTGGTATCATTACTCAGTGCATAAACATCTACGTGCAGTGAACACACTGAAAAAGATTAATAAGCACCCCAAAGTTCTTCAGCATCGTATTTTAATTGAATTTGAAGACCTTGACATGTTTGCATCTTCAGTGGAAACACGTTTTCATATGTAGCATGGTCTTGTGAAACACACAGAGGACATAAGCTGTGTTTGTTTATTTACTCCTGATCAGTTCCACAGGGCTACGTTGCCTATTGCTCTGATACCAGAAGTGAATAAATTGTTCAAAGTGTTCCTGTTCCCATTGATGTCCTTTTTCCATTAATTTTCTCCCTTCAGAACAGGCAGCAATTCACCCGTTTCCTTTAGTTCCTGTAAAGAAACAGATACAGCAATTATTCTCTATGCACACTTTGTGACTACAGCAACAAGGTTCCAATAGGGGTGGTTTGTGGGTAAGGAAATCGATTCAGCAGCTACAAGGGAATGTGCCAGGCAACCCACTAGAGGTCCCCATTGGCCAACACATTGGAGTTCTTCACGTTGGATTGAAAGCCTCTGTCTATTTAGTAAGAGAGGAAACTTAGTGAAAAGATAACACCTTCAAAAGCATTGCTTGTTATCGACTTTCCCAGGTAAAGCCCCTGGTCTGTCTCCTTCGAGGTGTAATTCAAGATATATTTTAGGCATACACAGAATTTTGACATCCAAAATGCCTCCCAAAAATGAAAACACCACCATTCATTAATAAACTTTGTTACAGCCACACATTAAAACACACAAGCCAGGAAGAGATTTTTAAGAGTACTAAATAGAGATGATTGCCCTGGCAGTGTTCAAGGCCAGGCTGGACACAGGGGCTTGGAGCAACCTGCTCTAGTGGAAGGTGTCCCTGCCCGTAGCAGGGGGTTGGGACTAAATGAGCTTTAAGGTCCCTTCCAACACAAACCAGTCTGGGGTTCTGTATTAGCTTGATGCTTTTAATTCACATTACAAGGCTGTTAAACTTCCTAAAGAGCTTGATAACATCAGAAAATAGTTTTAAAATAACATGTTGTGAGGTATGTGAGGGGTTGGAACTAAATGATCTTTTAAGATCCTTTCCAACGCAACCACTCCGATTCTACATCTTCTTTTCCTACATCTCGAGAGAAACAACTCAATTTTATTACATATTAAGCTACGTTACAGAATGCATTTTAAGATACTGATAACATTACTGCAAGTCAGTGTGAACTGAACACAGTCCAGCAATGCAAACAGACAAATTACGTTCAAATATCAGTGAGGGAAGTATCCTGCAGCATCTGCACAACGCCCAGGACTCTACTTCCCAATCACTGGAATAATCCACACACTTGTTAAATAAATAAAATTAGTCCATATAATTTAAGTAATACCAGTATTTTTAGAACTAAATGAGATTTATTGATTGTATCTTCCCAGGAGTTACAATGTCTGAGGAATTGGCTATAAAACATTCAGACAAGAATGGGCTCCAGAGTATTTGGGCTTTAGAACACTGTGCCTGCTCTGTTACAAAAATAAAAACCAGAGTAAGAGATGCAGATCTATTTTTGTTGCTTCAGGGCCTGTTCAAACAACTCCAATAAACCTTCCTTTCTTCCAGGAATGAGCCTGTTTGCTAGCAAAAAGAATGTCTCGCCCACCTTCTTGGGGAAAAGCAATGTCAGAAGTAAAACTAGGAAGAGAAACCTGTGAAAATGCACCCATGGGGTGAAACTGGTCATAACAGTAACAGTAACTGACTGCTGCCAAGAAAATACATTTCACTGCTAAATCTTGGCATATGAGAACACTGGAGATTTAGAGCTGCTTCCAGCTGTGTGCTGAGCTAAGAGAAGTCACAGTAAAAACCACCAAGGCGGATGGTTTCATGATCTAGGGCCACTACACTGCAGTGTCTCTATGTAATGGGCAGGAAACACTTCGACACCTTTAAACACTCAATTTACATCTCAAATAAGATTCTCCCATTCCTACCTTAATGATATCCAGCCCTCCAACAAGTTCACCTTTCACATATAACTGAGGATACGTCGGCCAGTTGGAATAGGTTTTCAATCCTTGCCGCACCTAAGACAACAGAAAGCTTAAGTATAAACTTCAACCTTTGCAGAAACAGCAACGAAATCCTCAGTGCTGGAGAAGCTTCATTACCTCTTCATCTTCCAGTATGTCAAACGTCTCATAGTCAATGCTAGGAAAAGAAAAGAACACACAAAATCATCTATGCGGAGTTTTGCAATGGAAGATGCTAGAACTTCAGAATGGGCGCATTTAGAAGGTAGCTCCCAAATCATTTAATTGACAGGTAAGAGGAGGAAAAAAGTCAACACCTCATGCACAAAACTCTGTCATGTAAGAAGTGCAAGTACCACACAGATGAAGCGTAACACACTGGAAGATTAAGCTGTGTGGTTTAGGCTCTAATTGGCCAAAATGTGTTCAAAGTAATTCCATTCACTATTAGCTTAAAAAAAAAATACCCAAAGACACTTCCACACTTTCAAAGATGTTATTTATAGAAGCAGTTCTTCCCTGGGAGGGTGCTGAGGCGCTGGCACAGGGTGCCCAGAGAAGCTGTGGCTGCCCCATCCCTGGCAGTGTTCAAGGCCAGGTTGGACACAGGGGCTTGGAGCAACCTGCTCTAGTGGAAGGTGTCCCTGCCCGGGGCAGGGCTTGGAGCTGGAGGAGCTTTAAGGTCCCTTCCAACACAAACCAGGCTGGGGTTCTATGAAACAACCAGCTGCTATTTCATCGCCTTCATATACTACTTGTGTAAAAACACAAAACTAAAGTTCCTGTATAAATCTGATCTCCAGCTGATTCATGTACAAGTTTGGGTAAGCCATCCCTAGTGTCTTCAATAACCAACCAGCACATGCATAGGTTCCTCAGCTGGACTAAGACCATGACAGGGAACAATGATTTCAGTAACTGCTACTTATTTCCAAGTCGTACATTGATATCTAGTTATCTGTTATCTCAAAAAGCCCATTGTAACATGTACTAATCAAGAAAACTGCTTAACCTCTACCGAGCAGTGCAAATGAAACGGGAGTTTGTTCAAAGGAAGATGATACCAATCTCTCTCACTACAGAAGGAGCTGCTTTAAAGAGGAAAACTGAGGCTAGGTAACATGAGAGGCTCCAAGATTAAGGAGACAGATCAAGAGGGACCTCTCTGAGCTGAGCTGCTATCAGAGGGGAAGGATTGCTTTCATGTTAACAATCACAGCGAGAAGGAAAAAAAATCACTCTTGCAATGAACTCCTCAATCTGAGTAAGACAATCAGGAGGTAGTAGTGCTAAAGCAGTGTAACACCTGATACACCACATCTGACTTGATATCAAGTGAGTGTAGTAGTGATTTACACTATGGGCTTTCACATAAATATACTTGAAAATACTATTAAACAAAGAAAATTACATTTGGGAAGCCTTTCACTAGTATTTTCCAAACTCTTACTTAATCAGCTGTAGTTTTTAGCACAGAACTGGCTTCCCAAATTGAATGAAAACATACCCAGTATTATTCATGATTTCCACAATTTGCTTGCTGAATCCACATTTTGCCACCTAGAATGCAAAACACACAGGTTGAAACATGCATCTGCTATACTTAACCCATAAACTTCCAAGTCCTCAAGCTACACCACAGCTATTACTGATTTCCTGATAGTGATGACCTTACTGGATTAGCAACACTGCTAATTCCTTTTCATTCTTCTTCATACTTTTTGAGCTTTACACAGCACTCAATGTCTCTTTCCTTATGTATCCTGCTGAAAGAAAACTTTGAGAATATTAACCACTTTGCTTAGTTGTGGTGTGAAATGATATGAGGTGAATCTGTTTTGGCAACACCGCCTTGAGAACTAGTCAGGTTTGCTTATTTTCTGAACATTCAAGAAGCCAAAGCTGTAGGTAGGATGTGTATAAATACCTTACATGCAGTGTAAAATACATGTGGTTTCGTTTGAGACATACACTGCACTTTACTTACTGTTCTGGAGAGAGTAGCTGTCTATGGTCAACTGATGAGAGGCTGCATGCACAGCAACTCCCAACTGAAATCAGCAATTGAAAGTATCTACTGCAAACTTTCCACATGGACAGCGTAAGTACAGAGAACACCCATCACTGGTTTTGACACTGAGGTTTTAATCTAGACTATCTCTTCCTAGTGGTGGTTTCACTCTACCAGCAGCTCAAAGAAAGTCAAGACATGTTAAGTAACCTGCCCAGGCTCTTGCTTTCCGTGGGCAAGACACAGGTTTTAAAGGAGATAGAAGTGGAGACAGAAACCTGGAGAAGTGAAGGCTCTGGGGCGATTTTAGAGCAGCTCCAGTACCTAAAGGGGCGCCAGGAAACCTGGAGAGGGGCTTTGGACAAGGGATGGAGGGACAGGACAAGGGGAATGGCTTGAACCTGCCAGAGGGGAGACTGAGATGAGCTCTGAGGCAGAAGCTCTTCCCTGTGAGGGTGCTGAGGCGCTGGCACAGGGTGCCCAGAGAAGCTGTGGCTGCCCCATCCCTGGCAGTGTTCAAGGCCAGGTTGGACACAGGGGCTTGGAGCAACCTGCTCTAGTGGAAGGTGTCCCTGCCCGTGGCAGGGGTTGGAACTGGAGGAGCTTTAAGATCCCTTTCAAGACAAACCACTCTGAGATTCTACAAGTGCATGTGTTTAAAAGACCCGATCCCAACCAGCTCATCACCACAGTTTCAGTGGCTCAGTGTAACTCACAGGGTTCCAGTGGCTATGGGATGACTTTGGAAAACAGCCTACAACACTCTTAAAACTACCTGTTGTTAATACACAGAGGAGGCTCAGGGAACAAGTAAGAAATTAAAATGGAAAGATAAATCACATGGAAGAGCTCAGTCCCCTCCTTCTGTATCCCTTTAAAAAACACCACAGAAACAACTCATCACTAACTACAATTATTCAGGGCTCACCACTCCAGTGAAAAGCCCAAGTCGGGTGCCATCCAACTAACTCTGACAGGAAGAACTGCAGTGCCTGCTGTTCAAAGGGGAGGATTTTATCCCCTGGTTACTTCGTTTGAGTATGTGGCACACAGCAATAGACTGACCTTCTGGTTTAGTCCTTTGTTCTTATTTTAATCCTATCTGTTAGCAGTTGTCAGTCTTCAGTGACTATTTCAGTGAGCAAGATAATTAAAAGCAGCTTAAAGACAGCAGGCACAGGCCATCCCATGCACGTGAGAGAGTGGATCATTTGTGGCATGTGACATTAGCCTTAAAAACACCCTGCAGCTTATTTTAAACACGGTTGTGAAAGCATGATGAAGCCAGGGGAGTCAAAAGGACAGGACACCCAATGCAACAGGCCAACAGAAGGCAATCAAGCAGCATGCACCCAGAGATGACAGTTCTGGGCGACACTCAAGGTGTTTGCCTCAGGTTGGCAGCTGAGTGAGGATGAGCAAAGCCAATCGATAACACACCAAAGGACGCATCATTCCTGAACTGTACATCAGCTGACAGGCACCACTGCAGGGCTCCAAACTCCCTGATTCTACTGGGACACAGCAAGCAGCATTTTAGCAGTATATACCCATCAGGTAAAATAGGGACTGCTCTCATAGAAGCACCAAATAAAGGGACAAATAACTGACTTCCCAGCACCATTAATTTTCAGCAGCAAGGAAAGAAAAAGTAATTGTCACTGTTTAAACTGTTTGAATATATCCTGTAACACAATCTTACCTGTTTGCTTCCCTTCATGAAAAGCATCACAGGAGCTTTGTTTATGAGGGCTTTAAGTCTACAGAAAGCACACAAAAGAAAACCATAAAACACCTCGGTTATTATCCCAAGCTTTGTTTCCATAGGAGGATAAAACACAAAAGTGGAAATATACCAACTTAGAGCTTTACCAAATGCATTTAAAGCATTCTAAAAAGCAAATTTATTCATTTAAATTGCTTAGAGTAACTCTAGTGAACGAAGTTGAACCATCCTGTTCCTTTCAGAGCAACAATTTACTTTTCTACATCAACCTGTAAGTATGAAGGAGCAGGAAGTGTAAGGAGAAACACCACTGGGGACATTTTAAACACAAGGTCTATATTCAGGGACACACTGCTTTTTCCCACACTGCATATCATACTTTGCATTTCTCGTTCCCCAGATGAGAATGCCTTTTACAGAGCAAGAGCTGTACTTACTGTCCACCACTTGTAAGACCTATGGACTTACGGACTAAGGACTAACCACTACCCAAAGGAACAGGTCTGGTTTGTCCCATTGTACCTTGCTCACTGCTGGTCTACCAGCACAAGTCCCCCTTCCCCTTTCCTTTAAGGAAAGGTTTTTGTGTGACAACTGATGGAAGAAGTTATCAAATGGTTTCTTGATCAAGGCAAGCTGGTCACTTTGTGTGACTCACGTAACACGAAGATTCCAGACTGCAGAATGCAGGGTCTTTGTACAATAAAACTAAATAAAGCTTTGGGGAATGTCTTTGACCTGCCAGAGGGGAGACTGAGATGAGCTCTGAGGCAGAAGTTCTTCCCTGTGAGGGTGCTGAGGCGCTGGCACAGGGTGCCCAGAGAAGCTGTGGCTGCCCCATCCCTGGCAGTGTTCAAGGCCAGGTTGGACACAGGGGCTTGGAGCAACCTGCTCCAGTGGAAGGTGTCCCTGCCCGTGGCAGGGGCTGTTGCTGGATGAGCTTTAAGCTCCCTCCAACCCAAACCACTCTGGGATTCTGTGATTAGCTGGGTCACCTACAGCCTTCACACATGTAAACCTCAAACCAGTTCTTCCAACCAAGTTGTCTCTAGTTGAAAGCAACAGTAAAACAGCCACAGCAAGGGTGAGCTGCCAGATCTGCTTCCTGAAACCAAACTGATCTCCAGAGTCCATTTTCAAGTGAAGAAGATGCAGTTAATTGATGGGAAGAGATCAAACACTGGGTGAAGAAACATAGTTTAGCATTAAAAAGCTTCTATACTGATATTCCTTCATTTTATTAAATCTTAGCATGTTCTAATAACTGCCCCATAGGGTTTTCTTTATGAGTGTCTGACAAGACTGAATACAGTTGGAAAGAGATGTCAGTTGCTCACAAGTATGAGGTTAGTCACAAAATAAAACTAACTTGAGTCATGGAACAAGAACTTCCCAGTTGTCACCAGAGAACAGAAGGCAGACCTCAGCTAAATGTCCTGGTTTAACCCAAGAAACAAACACCCACTGAAGGATGAAGAACAAATGAGGCAAGAAGCTGCTTGTGGTGTGGCTGGTGAACTGTCAGACAGTTTCTTTTACTGGTAAAAACTTCCCCCATCTCTTCAACAGATGCTGCTACTGCTCCTTTAGGAAGACATTGAGCTATACCAACCATTCTCATCTATTCAAACACATTAGATAAGCAGAAGGCATTTCCCATTTCCTTCTCTCCCCCAAAACATTAAGCAAAAATACATGCATTAATTCAATCAAGTTGCAGCTTATGCAAGATTGCAAAAAAGAAGGAAGAGAGGATACTTTCTAAAGTAAGATTTTAAAAGGCCATACCTAGACAATCTCATCTTGACCTGTAATTTAATCTCAGAATGCAAAAGGTAGTGATTGGGTTCTGAAGCCTTGCTGGAACAATTTACTAGTTACCCTGCTAGAGTAACAAAAGGCAAACCTTGGCCATAGAACACATCAAAAAGGAAGTAGTAACTACTCTCCTGTAAAAGTCAGTACACTGAATCACCATATAGAAATAGCTTGCATAAAATTCCTTCCCCACTGTGCTGAGAGTGCAAAAGAACCAGCAGCAGACACATCCAGAGCACTGTCAGACTTGCTCTCACCATCCAGCTGGCAAGAGGGAATCTCTGCTAACATATTTGCCTGCAAGGTACAGGCCACCTCCTCGGAAACCAACCCCCTTTGCATGTCCTAATGGCACAATTCGCATAAGAACTAGGGAAAAACAAAGCCACCTCCAGGAGGAACCTCTCAGAGAGAAGGACTTGTCAGATATCTGGAGCCTGACTGCCTGGGGCACGCCAGGATTTCAAATGAGAGCAAATCTTCAAATGGGAAGGTTAAAGGAGGACAAATTGGTTTCTAGCTATTACAGTTGATTCAGGAAGCAGCACACTTCCTGCTGCTGCAGTACATATTCCTATTGCCAAGGTGAAAGAAAACAGGGCCTGAAGGACATAAGTAACCAAGAAAAATGAGGAGACAAGCCTAGCTATTTTCTCCTGTGACACCACAGTTATGAAGTCTGTGCCAAATGAAGCTCACAAAAGCTACTAATATTTAAGAGATGACTTTCCAAGCTATCTTTATAGAATAAATTCTTTAGAGACACAAGAAGGAACCTATATATTTGTGCTGTAATTAAAAGATAACCAACTACAAATACAGTAAGTAAAGCCTGTTGGAACAGTATAGCTTAATACTATAGCTTTATGTGAAGTGATGCTAACTGGATAGAAAATTGAACATATTAAACAACTGCAGGAGTTTTGTAATTAAAGAAAACCTTGATGCACTTATGATGAAGTCAAAGGACAGAATGTATATAGGGGGTTCCCATACATAAGCAAACATACAGTGAACATGGCCTGCAAGAAACCTGGAGAGGGGCTTTGGACAAGGGTCTGTACAGACCAGGACAAGGGGAATGGCTTGAACCTGCCAGAGGGGACACTGAGATGAGCTCTGAGGCAGAAGCTCTTCCCTGGGAGGGTGCTGAGGTGCTGGCACAGGGTGCCCAGAGAAGCTGTGGCTGCCCCAGCCCCGGCAGTGTTCAAGGGCAGGTTGGACACAGGGGCTTGGAGCAACCTGCTCCGGTGGAAGGTGTCCCTGCCCGGGGCAGGGGTTGGAGCTGGAGGAGCTTTAAGGTCCCTTCAACACAAACCAGGCTGGGATTCTGTGAACCTCGAAACAGACACCTTTAAAATAATGACATAACACATTATACCTGTTCTCCAACTTCTGTGCCTTTGGACAGACCGTCTCCAGTTCTCCAGAGGCTTCAAGTTCCTGGGGAGAAGAAAAGTCAGATGTAAAAAGTGAGAAAAACAAGCACGTGACAACTAACAGAAGGAAGAATTGCTCAGTTTCTAACCTTCACTATATCAAGTCCACCTATGAGCTCTCCAGCTACATACAACTGCGGGTATGTTGGCCAGTTAGAATATGTTTTTAGCCCCTGTCGAACTTCTTCATCAGAGAAAATATCAAAACTGCTAAATGAAATGCCATGTTTGTTCAGAATCTCCACCATCTGCTTGCTGAAACCTGCAGACACAGAAAGAGGAATAAAATACAGGTTTAAACAAAGTTTTCCTGTGTCTCTACTACACATTAGTCATTTAAAAATGCAATTCTTCTGGATAGTAAGTTCAAAATGGCTCTAGTTTGTTTTTCTTTGTTTTATCAGTATCCCCAAATATTATAAAGGAGCAAAACAAGTATTTATTAGTGGCATAACAAAACCAAAGTATATGGGCAGTTTGGTAAGTCTGGTGCTTCTGCACAATCAGTAACCTTCATGTTAGTGTCTCTGCTGTTGCAAGTTACAATTAAAGGAGAGTTAAACCCATTCCCTTATTCTGCCTTTTCCAGCTCTTCTTCACTTGAGCACTCACAAGGAATGACTTTAACCTTGACCAGTGACCACAACAGCACCTTCAGTAGCTTTTCATGTCTCTAACTGCACATCACTTTCTCTACCCTGTCACTCTTCCTCCAACTGCCACTGAACTTTTTCTACACCAAACATGAATGAAGTTGACACAAAAGTGGAAACCAGGACCTGACCCTACCACTGTGCCACTAGTTTAACTTAGAAATGTGGCTTTTAGATGGTTTCCCACTACTTTTGTTTTAGGATCATCTCCCTTCCTACTTCATGGTACAAGGCAGATTCCTTTTCATTTTCTAAACTTTTTATGTCCACAGGAGTACTAATATCATTTCACTACCTTGTCACACCATGTCCTGCTTTCCTTTATGACAGATCTTCATTATGTCCTAGTCCAAACACACTCTCAGCTGGATATCAAGCACTGAATATTATTACATAAACATCCAGATTTGATAAGTTTACTACGTGGCCAACCTGAGAAGAAAAGTTTCTCCCTTCTGAACTGAACATCTTGTTCCTAAGAAAATCCTCACATCACAAAGGTGTATGCATGAAAAATGTAATGTTACAGAATTTACAATTTATAATCACCTAAATCTGCTTACACTAGAGGGAAACACTCAAAATTTCACTTTCAATTCTCCTCTACTCTTTTCACAGTCACAGACTGGTTTGTATTGGAAGGGACCTTAAAGCTCCTCCAGCTCCAACCCCTGCCCCAGGCAGGGACACCTTCCACTAGAGCAGGTTGCTCCAAGCCCCTGTGTCCAACCTGGCCTTGAACACTGCCAGGGATGGGGCAGCCACAGCTTCTCTGGGCACCCTGTGCCAGCGCCTCAGCACCCTCACAGGGAAGAATAATGTGATAAGAAATGATAATAACATGTAGTTTATATGTTTGCCAACTCATTGTGGTTTGGATTCGAATGCCCTTTCAATCCTACCAATTCCCTCAAAGAATTCCACCAAATGCTGTGCAGACAAATGAAAACCTCTGTACAAATATTAAAAAGGAAAACAAAAGACAATGCTTAAAGGCTTTAATAAAGGAATAAAGAAAGAAGCTTTAAATGGGGAAAAAGAATCCAAGTGCCATAGAAGAATAACCTTTGATTTCAGCCTGCAAAACCACCTATTAGTTTTTGAAATATGGATTTTTTTACAGCAGCTTTCTGCAGTTTTCATGCTCCATAATTTATTGGGATATGAAGGAGCACTATTTCTATGGATGGCATCTAAGTTGCTTTTCTTTCTACAACTGAAGTGTGAAGTTCATGTACAGCCTGAAGTAAAACACAGGTTCTGAAATCCTTCATACATCTGGGAGTTCATTAGTAAACAGCTGAAGGCTGATTGCTGATGGTGATTCCAACACCAATACATTAACTCATTTCTACTGTAAGGAACTAGGGAGAATAAAAAACAGCTTTATTTTTGCTGGAGGCCATTACATGCAAACTAGAAAGATTGATTGCTTGTGCTTTATTTTGAAGGGTTACTGTAGCAGGCTGGAAGTGCTCTGCTCACGGATAAAGTGCCAGAACAGCTTTACTTCCACAACAAAAGGGTTAGGCTGAACTCCTGATCAAATGCCACCTATGCCTTACAAGGAAGAATTAAACTGCTAACAAACTGGTTTAACTGGTTAACCAGATGCTCACAAGTGCCACTGCAGGGTCTACACCAGTAAAAACACCCTGAATAAATAACGGTATTGAAGCAAATCCACAAATACCACCACAGTCCAAATGAATTCACTGAAATAATGCAAGGTATGGAGCAAACACATACAACTGCCAGTAAACACATAGCCAAGGGGGCAAACCTCACTTTACACTGTGCTTAGCTGGCTTTACACTGCAGAAATGACAGGCTACAAGCAGATCCCCACATAACTGCTGGAAGAGGGTTCCCTTCACTTGCCCACTGCACGAAGGACTCCAGTGCAAGTCTTACCTGTATCAAAATCGATACAACTCAAGAACATCTTCACCTTCAAATAAAACAGGCTCCTCTTATTTCATTCAACTGTTATTACTCCTACTACTGTTTAAACTGTATCATCTTTGTCAAAGTGATAAATTACTTTCAACTTGCAAAAGGCTATTCCAGGAAGTTTAACAGACCCAACTTTGTAACATCTTTGAAACTATCACAGCAGTTTAAGGCAGGCACAATATTTAACTGCAAAATTAAGAAGTTCACATGATTTCCTGGTTTGTATTACATTTTAATACTTCCAGTTTCAATACATACCTATGTTTAGGTAAGTACATCCTGTGCACTCTTCATGGAGTACCAAGGAAGAACTGAAAGCTTGTAGAAACACCTTTGAGGGTGCTGAGGCACTGGCACAGGGTGCCCAGAGAAGCTGTGGCTGCCCCATCCCTGGCAGTGTTCAAGGGCAGGTTGGACACAGGGGCTTGGAGCAACCTGCTCTAGTGGAAGGTGTCCCTGCCCGTGGCAGGGGTTGGAACTGGAGGAGCTTTAAGGATCCTTCCAACACAAACCATTCCATGATTCTATTACCTACTTCATCATATTGTCATGCAAATGAACCTGTGTTACACTCTTAAATCACCTTCCATACGGGTTTTATGATGAAGTACCAAACCATCCTTAACCTTGATGCCTCAATGTCATTTCTGGTTTGTGGTTCTTGTGTTTATTTTAAATAGCTTCAGAATTGCCTCCCATCAAAATTTCAAGCTCATGAGCAGTAAAGGGTCTTTTCTCTGTAAAACTTCAAAATTTGTCCAGTGTTCTGCTCAAAGCCCTTTATAAACCCAGCTCTTGACTCAGCATCCACAGAAATCCAAGGAAATGGTGTGCCTGTGCCATCAGTGATCCCGCTGACCCAGGAATAACGGAGAACCTGGGCACACGAGCAGTTCTGAGGAGACTCACCACGGCCTGCCTGACATTGGCCTTGCCATGGCAAGCTGCAAGATCTCACCAGAGACAACTTACTGTGTCCCAGTAAATTCTTGTTTTTCCTTGAACTGAAACATAATCTTCAAACTGTTTTACCTTTTCAACATGTGTAACTTGATGCAGAAAAGATACCCAGAATATTCCTGAGGTAGCTCACAGTGTTAAGTGTCAAGGGTAACACTACGCATCACGTTTTCTTCAGAAAGTCCCTAATCCCTGTGATTCCACTGCCAAAATTTAACTCAGAGACTAACAATTCTCTAGCTGCACCTAATCAACATGAAGACACTTTCATTAATACTCCTAGGACACTGTTGGGAGTTATCTCCCCAAAGCTAAGTGTGACAACCAGCCCCAAATCAAGAGCTGTCATGTTCAAAACAAACTTGACACAACCCTTACCACAACGAGGTTCTTTTGGAGACCCCTTCATGAAGAGCATGCAGGGGGCAGCATTGATGAGTTTCTTGAGGCGCACATTCAGATCTTCTTTCACACTGTCATTGGAACCAGCAGAGAAGGAGCTGCTGGATGTGTGGCGCTGCACTCTCTTGGTCAGCTCGGGGGCATGTGCACCATCCAACCTGTCCACCTTCTGAGAGTTCTGAGGGGAGCAAAACACAGGCTCCTCTTAGAGGATTAAATTCAGAATCTGTATTGTAATAAAAGAATAGTCAAACCACCATACAAAGTAGAGATGTTGAGATGCGGGCTGGATTCGTGTATTGATCCTTTAGCCAGTGTTTACTTCCAAGACTCAGACCACTCTGTTGGACGGCTACTGTTAACACTAGGGCCTGGAGCACAAGTGTGATGGGGAACTGCTGAGGGAACTGGAGGGGTTTAGTCCAGAGAAGAGAAAGCTCAGGGGGACCTTACTGCTCTCTACCACTACCTGAAAGGATGTTGTACTGAAGTGGGGGTTGGTCTTGTCTCCCAGGGAGCAAGTGATGGGACAAGAGGAAACGGGCTCAAGCTGCCCCAGGGCAGGTTTAGCTGGAGCTGAGGAACAATTCCTTGCCCAGAGGGTGCTCAGGCATTGGAACAGGCTGCCCAGGGCAGGGCTGGAGTCATCGTCCCTGCAAGTGTTCACAGCCCGTGGAGCCGAGGCCTCAGTGCCAGGGGTCAGTGGTGGCCTTGGCAGGGCTGGGAACGGGTGGACTGGATGAGCTTAAAGGTCTTTTCCAACCTGGTTGATTCTGTGATTGTGATTCCACCAAATTTGCTACTTGAAGAAGAAAATACTCTGAATTTTATCATCACAGGCAAACGTGACCCAGACAGACTTGTCATTTCTACCTCAGATTACTCAGGTTTTTGCCATGTTGTAGAACTGCAGCTAGACAAGAAACCAGCACTGAAAATTCTCTGACCCAATACAAGGTACAACTAAAAGCCTATGTAAAAATCCCAAAGGAATCAAGGACGCTCTGAAATATTACATAGAAAGTGTAAGAACCATCTCTATCTATGTTTTTAGGTTCCACTGGATAGACTTAAACAGATACAGAAGTGTTTCTTCACTGAGAAAGTTAAGGTTGTGCTCTTGTGTTAGTAGTATTAAGAGTCCACATGGAATCCATCTTCTCTTAAATCCATTTTCTCTTACCTTAAAGAACAGAAACGTTGGAACAGAACTAATTTCATATTTTTCAGATACTTCAGGCAAAGCTTCAGCTTCCAGCTACAAAAAACAAACACAGAGAAAAACATGATTTTCATAATCTCCTTTAAAGCCTGACTGCAGATGTCCATGTTGTTCTTGGCATTTTATACATTTAAAGAGGCTTTGATGCACAAGTTGGTGCCACATTTGCATTGAAATGACACTCTCTGGGCTGGCGTGTCACCCACTGAGCCTCCACAGTGGCAAAACAGGTTCAGAGGGTTTTATTTTGTTGCACATTTCAAAAGATGCCCAGAGGCTGCAAATAAAATTTTTGGTGCACTACTGACCTAGTAAATTTTCAATCATATGCAGCTACTACTATATTGAAATCCATAAATCATTGACCCCAGTTATGTCATGATTACAGTGCTTATTTTGTGCCCACAGCAATTCTTGCTGGTTGCTCTATTGACTAATTTCGAGGGGCAGTACATCATGAGTGACATTTGCAGCCTTCTGCAAATGAGGAAGGCAAAAGGAGTGTTTCTTCAAGAAGCTATTGATGTCTGCTGAACTCTATGTTTAACTCCTGCAAGGCTACTGAGGGGCCACTTTGTTGAGATTATTGGTTCTAATTCTACTCCACATTCAATTGCAAACTTGAAATCATGTCATGGGGTAATCTGCCAAGAAAATTTATCTTTTAATTAATCGAAATTTGTGATTTTCTGGGATAGGCTAAAAGATTATATGAATCATAGAATCCCAGACTGGTTTGGGCTGGAAGGGACCTTAAAGCTCATCCAGTTCCAACCCCCTGCCACAGGCAGGGACACCTTCCACTAGACTAGGACTTGCTTCAAAATATAGGAGAATGCCTTAAATTTGGCCTATGTTTCCCAAACATTTCATGGTTAATTACATGTATTAAGCCTGCATTTTTATCTATATATATTCTTCCCTGTGAGGGTGCTGAGGCGCTGGCACAGGGTGCCCAGAGAAGCTGTGGCTGCCCCATCCCTGGCAGTGTTCAAGGCCAGGTTGGACACAGGGGCTTGGAGCAACCTGCTCTAGTGGAAGGTGTCCCTGCCCATGGCAGGGGTTGGAGCTGGAGGAGCTTTAAGGTCCCTTCAACACAAACCAGGCTGGGATTCCACGAAACAAGCAGCAGCAGCTATTTTATCACCTTCATCTACTCCTTGTGTAAAAACAGAGACGTTTAAGAGTGAATTTGAGTCTGGGAAGAAGGGAGCCTTAGGGGAAGATGCCTGTAAGATTTGGTTTTATTTCTTATTCTCCTCCTCTGATTTGTTGCCAGTAAACAAAACTAATTTCACAAAGTGGAGTCTGTTTTTCCCATGCTGATAACTGGTGAGTGATGTCTCCCTGTCCTTATCTCAACCCACAAGCCTTTCAATACATTTTCTCTCCCCTGCCCAGCTGAGGAAGGGGGTGACAGCGCAGCTTTGGTGGGCACCCAGCATCCAGCCACGGCCAACACCCCCCACAGGGAAACAAATGAAGTCCCCAGCACACATGGAAAGAACAATGTTGCCAAATTAATCTCAAATCCAGGGACAAAATCCATGCTTTAAAAATATTCCTGTCTGTAGAACTGAAGGACTGAGCCATTGCAGACACAGAGAAATTCAAGTGCCTGTTTGTTAGGTAGAGTAGCTAGTGAAAAAACTCCTTCATTGTATCTTCCAAAATCAGCTTTACCCTTGTTTTGGAATAGTTTGCTCATACTTTGTGCTAATGGATCTCCTCTCTTTAGAACCAGCTCAGCTGCCTGACTTACCTTCACAAATGCAACCTGTGTGTGCTCCTTTGCCAGTGCTGCCATAACCTCGTTCATTTGAGCACACTGAGGAGCCCATGGTGCCCAGAAGTGGACAACTACAAGGGACCTGTTCCGAAAGACAATGAAAGAGAGAACAGCATTGATGTTTTAAAAAATCATGATGAAATATAACGACTTTGATACACCATGTGAGAAACCCACAGGCACAAAAAGAATCCCACCTCCTAGACATGGTCCTGAGAAAACAGAAAATCCAGCAAGTGAAACCAGAAACATTCTCTAAGACTTTAACCAGGAAACATTCCAAAAGCCAACCAGCACTGTTAAGGTAACAGAGAAAAACGGCATCCTGTATTTTGACAGTAGAAGATCATTCCATGCGAATGTCAAACAGGAAGAATAAGCAGAAACACTAAAGATGGATCGAGTCACACACTACAGGGTGCAGATGTTGAGGCACCCATAGGCCAAGCACTTGAAATGGCTCTGGGGCACCTCAGCCCAAGCAAAAAGTCATATGCCTTCAGCTCCAGAGCTCAGCAGCCCCATGCCTGAACTGCACCACTGCCTCTTCACTGCTTATCCAGGAAATAAGCACAGAATCCCAGCCTGGTTTCTGTTGAAGGGACCTTAAAGCTCCTCCAGCCCCAACCCCTGCCATGGGCAGGGACACCTTCCACTAGAGCAGGTTGCTCCAAGCCCCTGTGTCCAACCTGGCCTTTAAGGTCCCTTCCAAGCCAAATCAGTCTGGGATTCCGTCTTCTCCAGGGCTGTCATCTGTAGACTCTTCCAACACTCCCGCACACGAGTCACCACCAGCAGTGATTCCGAAGGCAAACCACTTCTCTTTAACCACAGCAAAATAGCTGTGAGGCTTCTTTGCACTGATCTCACTGCTCACAACTGACACTGATATGTAAACCCCAGGAAAGGCTCATACCAGTGATTTACTCTTTACTTACAAATGGGATTTGAGATGGACTCCTTGTAAAGCCTGAGACCACATCACACTGCTCAGAGCAAAACCTTCCCTGCAAAGCTGTTTGAGCACTTCACACCAGAGTGTAATGTGGTGAAAATAATTAGGTAGGTTGTAAGATGGGGAAGGCATTTGTGTGTATGAGAACACCCAGTCCCAGGAGACAGAACAGTCTCAAATTCAAAAAGCAGCAACAGGTCAGTATCTCAGAAGAGAGACCAGGCTCTGATGCAGAGAATCATCAAGAGGTCTGCTCCAGGACTGGTTTTCTGGAACTTGTTCATCACAAGCTTCATCTGAGCTCCTCCAATATTGCTCCTAATCTAGGCACTGTTTACTGATGCTGTGAAGAGCTCAGGGAAGTTGTTACTAATGGATCAAGGATGGAACAAAGTACTTTTTGTTTGTTTTAATCAAGTTTGCTGATGTTTCCACAGTCTTCGCAAACCAGGCTACTCTACTTTGATCTATCACAGCTTTTGGAATCAAAGGGAACGAAGTTGTGGAGCTGTCCTTTAATGGCACAATGCCTCTACGTTTAAAATACTGATTTCTACATCTGTTAAATTACAAGTGGGACAAGAAGATGCTTCCACTGGCTAAAACATAGTGGAAAATACGAGACCCAAACCCAATGATTCTACGAAGTGATTCTAAACAAATTATTTCCTACGTTTAACCAAGAGATTTTGAAAAACCCAACAATTATCTATAAAAAAAGATAATAACTAAAAGGTTATGACAGCTCCCAAAGCTTCTCTTCCTGTATCAAACCATATTTCACATTTTGGAGGAAAAACTATGGGCCCAAAACTAAAACTCACTTTGTTTAATGCAACATTTTTTTAAAGGTGACTAGCAGAAGAAAAACCAGAAGGACACATCACACTTCCTCTGCAGAAATGAAAAGCCTTTTTTCTACAGTGTATTAATATAGAATCACTGAATCCCAGCCTGGTTTGTGTTGAAGGGACCTTAAAGCTCCTCCAGCCCCGACCCCTGCCACAGGCAGGGACCCCTTCCACTAGAGCAGGTTGCTCCAAGCTCCTGTGTCCAACCTGGCCTTGAACACTGCCAGGGATGGGGCAGCCACAGCTTCTCTGGGCACCCTGTGCCAGCGCCTCAGCACCCTCACAGGGAAGAGCTTCTGCCTCAGATCTAACCTGAAAAAATATATATATATTTGCTTAAGGCAGACTCTAATCACACCTTTATATGCCGAAATAGTAAGACATTCTCTGATAGGGATATCATGAAAATAATTACTAGTTACTCTACAGGTCACCCACCCTTGTAACTAATCTCTCTCTGACAGGCAGCACAAGTCTCCTGCTTTATAAACTGGCTTCTCCAAAACACAGTCCAAGTAAAACAAGAGTCACAGCGTGATAAGTGGTCCCATGATTTTGAAGTCAACAGCGCAGTTTTCCTTTTGCAACTGTAAAATTTAGATGCATTTTGAAAACAACTAAGCCTTAAAATTCACACTTATTCTATGACACAAATTCACTAATAGCCTGATGTAAGAAATACTCATTTTCTGAAACAAGAAATCCTATGAAATTAAGTGTCAATATAAATTGCTGGTGGTTGCAGGTGATTAGTGGTAATCCCATTAGCATGGAAAAATGAGGAAGTCCATTCAAAAGAACAATTTTCGCAGTAAAATGGCCTCAGGCCTATCCTTAAAATTTCAGCACATTTTTTCTCTTAAGCTTTATCTTTTTAAGAGAAAAATACTTCCTTTAACTCCTTCTCTCCTGGCAAAGGAATAAGTTCCCTTCCTTACTCCTTAGCCACCTTCAAGAAAGTGAAGGTTTAGAAGTACTTTTTACACCTTTAAGTTTCGAATTCACTTCATAATTCAAAACAAGAAGTACCTTAAGTCAGACAAAATATATTCTTAAAGTTTTGCTACCACCCACATCCAAGATTGTTAAAAACAAACAGAACCCCATTATGACTTGGGGAATATGTTGTATTCTGTGAGTGCTGGTTCATTTTCTTCCTTGGTCTCTTAACAGTAACAAAAGCCAAAACCAGAGAATTATCAATTCTATCACCTTGTTTTAAGAAGAAAAACATGCATAAAATAATCAAATCTATTAAAGAGAAAACTGAACCATGTTCTGTGGGCAAAGGGAATGAGAATTACTGAGGGGTTTGTTGAAAACAACTGGCTCCTGAAGCTGTTTTCATATTGATTCATGTTTATCCATGTGACAGAGGGGGAGTTCCCTCTGTAATGTCCACACAACAATTCAGTTGAAGATTAATTCCAGGAAATTAAAACTGGAAGTGATGTGGCAAGTCTTGAAGGATCTAGTTTCTTCTTCCCATAATCTGCACTTATTGATGTTTCCTTCTCTTGTCTTTAAGACTGATGCTGATAGTTCCAGCATCTTTTTTAAACCACTCATTTAATCAGTTTCCTCTTCTTATTCAGTTAAAGTCCACTTGCTAACGCAGCAGTTAAACAACATAGAAATGCTTTTAACACAGCACCTTATCATGCCTTACAAGGCCTAGTTAAATACACACTCAACTAATGGATTAAAAACTATAATAATACAGTTACCACACCTTTGATTCCACAAGAGAAACAAGCAAAGCTCACAACCAAACCTGTCTTCCTGCAATAAAGCACCAGAGCACTCACTAATCTTTAATTACAACAGTAGTTATTGTGACACTTCCCCAGGGAAGTAAAGCTGGTGCACAGAATTTACCCCCAAAGATCAGTGCCTGAGATTCCCAACATCAGACCAGGAGCTGCTGCTCAGGGGCTACAGAGAATCAGTGAGAAACCAGTGGATAAAGAACCCTGCTACTCATTATTAGAGCATAAAAACCAGATTAAAGAGAAACCAGCCCTGTGTCACAAGAGATGAGCAGTTTTGCTTCATGTTTTTTTCTCAATATACAACCTAATAGACACTGCACATGCGGCTGCCCCATCCCTGGCAGTGTTCAAGGCCAGGTTGGACACAGGGGCTTGGAGCAACCTGCTCTAGCGGAAGGTGTCCCTGCCCGGGGCAGGGGTTGGAGCTGGAGGAGCTTCAAGGTCCCTTCAACACAAACCATTCTGCTATTTTATGGTTCTATTCATTCAAATGCTGCTGTTTTCATTGGAAACGCTGAATAGTAACTTCGGTTTGTGGAAAACTCAGGGCTCGGAAGGAAAAACAACCTCTTGGGTTGCAGAAAGTCCCGTTTTCGTGGTTTTCCTGCTGCTCTGCCCATTCAGGCCCTGTGGG